CCCTCCGACAGCACGACGAGAAAGGAAAGATAAATTGGAGGCAACAAAACGCACCAAAAATGTATGGAGAAAAAGCACGCTGGTCTGTTGAAGACTGTGATGTGGAAAATACTCACATGGCTGCAGGTTACTCGCGTGCCGTTACCCTTAGACATCTGCCAAACAGCCCAGCTGTCAAAGGAGAGCTGACTGGCACTGTCACCGCAGCTCAAAGTTACAGTAAGAAAGTGTTAAATCTGATTATTAAAAAGGTGTGAAAGCGTGCAGCTGCAGGGCTGGTCAGAGGAAAGAATAAAAAAGTGATGCTTAAGGGAAGAGACAAGAATGAACAATTATTTTATCCTGCAACATCTCCAATTAGGAGCTGAAAACTTAAACACGGAGGCCAAGCAGCAGCGAGGACTAGATAAGGTGAAGATTGGTTTTGTTTTATAATCAATAAGGTTCTCGTACTAAGAAAATTTACTGCAAAACAAGCAAATTGGTGGAAAAAATTGAAAACACAGGATCCGTTCTTTAAAAACACACAAAATATTTTTATAGCTAACTACAAACGTAACGATAGACATTTACAAGATCTCTTAGTGCATATTTACACTTACTTTTTTGTTTTCTTTCCTAGAATTAAAGCTGCCATAATCTTCAAAGACTTTAGGGCTGTTTCAACAGCTGAATTACAAAACAGCTCAGTCACAAATTACAAAATAAACTTGAATGGTTTAAATAAAGAGGAAAAAATACTCCACGTGATTCACTCTGATACAGGTTTATACAGGACAGATCATTCTCGTGACACATTTTCTAAGGCTGTGAAACGGCCAACTTTTCGTATTTTAATTGATGCTTTCATGTTTTGGATCCTAAAGAGCAGCAGCTAACCGGTCCCTTGTTTCTCGCCCTTTAGACCACAACCCTGCTGAAAGGGAAACTGGGTTGAAGCCATTTGCCCCCCGAAGCTCCTCCTCTACAAACGGAAGAGACCTAAATGACAGGACGGGAGTCCTGAGCGATGCCTCTCTCGGGGCTGAATGCTGCTCTGCAGTCAAAGCAAAAGGGCAGCTACTTCCCAGCTCTCCCCGGAGGCAAGGCTTGGAAGCTACATTGCTCCAGACCACTCTCCGCTTATTTCAGCATCTCCACTTCTGATCCTGAGCAGAGCCCAAGCTGAATGAAATCAAGTGTTCAAATACTTCAGAACTCGGAGCGACGCAGGTTCTGCTCGAGTTCGGAGGGCAGGTGGTCGCCTTTTTCTTAAATCTCCATTGTTTAGCACAGCCCTAACGGCATGGCTGGACAGCACGGTGCAAACCAGATGGGTTTCAATGCTTCTAGATGGGTTTCAATGCTTCTGAAAGCCTAAGAGATGATGTTGTTGGAAGTCAGACTCTAAAACCAACTTAGAATAAGATCTTTTTGAAAAGAAATGTATTTTCTTCATAAATACAGTACAATTACATTTTACAATGTCTTTTTACTTTCTAGACATAAAAATGCTAGCTTTTAAAAAAAAAAAGAGTTCCTATACAAATACATGAAAAGAGCCCCCCCTCCCCACAGCCCCCCGCCCCTGCCACGGAGCAAAACCATCAGCCGCGGCGTGAAGCAGCACAGTGAATCCCGGGCTAACCTGTGCCAGCCCTCGTGGGGAGGGAGAGAAAGCCAAATTACCCCCGGGGTTTTGCTTGCCCTGACTGCACCGAGTTTATATCGCCACCATTTTATAAGCGATGGAAAAAGCACATCGTCTGGCCACAGCCGTCGGGATTCACTGTGAGGGTGTCATGGCTCACGGGATGCGGTTGTTACACGTTTCACGCACTGCTGGTCATCGGTGTGGGCTCCTGGAGCAGGAGGTGTCCTTGGAAATGGTTCTGGCCTGAAACTCTGCAAGTCCCCTCACTCGGGCAGCCTCAAAACCGAAGCAAAGCTAATGCCAGTTTTCAGCCTCTCGCTCTACAAACTTGCCACCAGAGGCAGAGACCACACATAAAGAATTTCAGCCCCCTGACTGTACTTGCTGACCTCAGCCACCCTCTGCAGACTCCTGAGGAGCAACTCACAGACCCCCATGAGTCCTCAGACCAGAGACCGAAAATTGCTGCTCTAGACCCCGCAAGAGTTGCCAGGTAGGAGCTATCTGAAGTTCATAATGACATCGGGCTAGGTGGGAACAAAAGCCTCTGGATCTCAGGCAGTTCCCTGAGCCGTCAAATCCCAAAAGAACTGCCCAAGGGAAGGACTTGTGAGCTTGGCCATTCTGTAAGCAGTGAAAGGAAAGAGGAAAAATAACTAAACTTGATTTTCTTGGTTTGTTCTACAAAGAAGAATATGTGGCTTTCTTTATAAAAGCTACAATTCTGCTTCTAATACCCGAGTTTAAGAAAAACTCTTAGTCTAAAGTTTTGGTTTGCAAGGAAGGTCATTGCAATCATTGTGTTAAAAATCACTTTCTACTAGAAATAAGCTCTACAGAAGGAAAAGGAACTAGGTGTGCAGTTTGTCTCCTTAAAGCAGTTTCTGTTTAAAAACAAAATAAAAATCTGTACAGAGAGACCGAAGACTATAGTACACATCTTCCTCAAAGCAAGCAGCTCTTTTATATTCACATCAGGACGGCTCTGAGGAAGCTCGAGGGAAAGAAGACATTCCTGATGGCTCCTAGTTTGTCAGCACAGGAAGATGACCTCAAACTTCCATGTCAAAAGTTTTGGGGGTTTTGCTTTTGGAAGAAAGCAAAACTACAAAATAGGGCAAAGAACCTGACCTAAACAACGTAAAACTGCACCATCTTCTTCCAAATTTATGTCCACGGGCATAGAACTGCTAAGGCTCCTGCAGTCCTCATGGCTTGGGACTGTCAGAGACTGTCTGGCTTCCATTTTTGGAGGAGACAGTTGCTGTCCATAATGTGTATTTTATTCACAGAAAGCTATTATGTCATTTTTTTCTTTGTAAAAATAGATTACAGAGGCATTTAGTTTGAAAACAATGAGCTGCAAGGAGGATAAACAATTTTTTTTTTACCTAGTCCAGCTGAACAGCCAATATCAATTGGGGAAAATCAGTTATCTGAAACAGATTTTATCTGTAAAGGATCCAAATTTTCCTAGACGTTTCAGAATTCACGTCAATCAAGCGAGTTGGAACTGTTTATCTAGAGCCCCACAGTTGCAAAACTTCTTTCCTACTGCTGAGAAGTACTTGTAAAGATGGAATATAATTTTTCCTGACTTTAAAAGAAGAGCACTCAAACAGCTCTCCCCCTCTCTCACACACTCAGTGGCATTTGATCTCCCTTATTGTTCATTCTAAGCCCAAACCACAAAATATAATATAGAAAATTATGCTGAAATGGCAGAAAGATGGACGCTTTGAGCTAATGAGAAAAGCTTCTCCTGCATTTCCAACAACTGTGGAGGAGGCAGAGAAATCACTTCAAATCATTCAGAGTGGGCATTACTTCATATAATGGGATGGAATTAAGCCAAGAGAAATAAATGTAAGACATTCTCAGGGATGAGAACAAAGAGGCTGTGAACAGTTTGTCTAGAAAAGGGTGGAGAACTAATTCAGACAGATTATTAGAATACACTTAGGGCAGGTCTACCGCACTGTCCAGAAAGATGTTGTCCCATATGGCAGAGACAGTCAAAGCCTTAAAGTGCAGCTCTGAAGTGTCTTAAGTACTGGTGATGGAAGGGAGTTTGCGCTGCCTGTTATAGCAGTCGCTGGTAAAGCCAGGCTATTTAGACTTAGTTCGTATCTTACCAGATGCATTTTGCCACCTCTGACTTCTGTGGGTCTAGGAATATAGCCTGAAGAACACTAACAAAGCAGCAAATCTGCTAGAAATGATGGGAAGTGTTTTCTTTGTTTTTTACGTGATTATCACTAGATGACGAACAGAATCCAACCCACAGCCGATCTTTAGGCACTGCTAAGTCACCCACGTGGCAGACAGAAGGCAGCTCCTTTCACCTCCCAACTCTCCACTGTGAAATTCATGTTACATCTGTTGATCCGGTAAGGCTGTTTCAATTGGACACCACATCAGTAGTGTCGACTAAGTAGGAATTGAGGACATTCACTAACTGTTCAACGATTAATTGCTGATTTTCCTTATTTCTGGGTTGAAATGATCTGAAATGAAAATCTGGCTGCTCCAATGCTGCACAGAAAGCTGAGACTAGCCAGGTTCCCAACATGTTGGGAACAACATTCCCAACTGGCTAATGAAATATTTTGACATTCAAGTAAAAAAAAGTACTTTCTTAATTTCTTAACAGAAATCAATATTGAAGTGTTCAAATAAAATGAAAAGACAGTAACAAAAAATACTCATTTACTTCTATTGGTCTTAATATCTCCTTGTAGCATCTGCAACCAAAGCATTGCTGCATCTGTGCTAGTTCCCAAAAATCTGAAAGTGAACCTGGTGACTTAAATGTGTAACTTTCTTCTGTAATGCCTCTGGGACTTTCTTGAAGCTGCTCTCTCCAGTTAGATGAAGAAAAAGAAAATATTTTGGAAGTAGAGAATTTGCCACCTGAAACTTTACACAGAGCTCCTCTTCAAAGCTCTACCTCTGAGGCTTTGTTGTATGAGAAAGAATCTAGTATCTCTGAGAAGGAGGGACATACAAAGTAGAACAGGAAAATCTGCTATGGAGAAAGATCTCCACAGATGCAGTAGAGTAAGTTACTAACACTGAAAAGCAAGGGGGCTTGCCACTTGTGCTATGGTAAATTTAGAGTAGTTCCACTAAAGCCAATGGAATTACAATGGCAGAAATCTGATCTAACGGATCAGGACTGAGCCTGTAAACTGTCCTTTTTTAATTTACGTAAAACATGAATGCAATATATTATTTACTATCCACTGTATAAATTATTGAAAAAGTACTTAAGTATAAAAGTGTGGCAAATCTTTCAATGAAACTAAAAATGTGAAATGCGACATTAATCACCGGAGTCATTTTTTTTAATAAAGAAATAACACAATTTGGGAAGTAAAAAAAAAAAAAATGTTACCACACTGAAAATGGAAATCTTTCCAGCCTATGAATGTGAAATACCTATTCTGAGTTCTTACACTGAGTGTAAAGAGAAATCTCCCTTGATCACAGCTCAAATTTATAGAAGTTTCTTAGAACATTTGTATTCCAAAACCATTAAGTGATCTCACAACTAAGTCCCTGGTTCTCGTCATAAGGCCACTACGCTCACCTTACTGAGTTCAAGCTAGACGTGTAACCAACAGCTATGAGAGTAGGTACTCCCGTTTAAGAGACTTTAAAAATACTGAAGTGAAATATCAGATGTAGTGCACCTAAGTTCTTGTTTGTTCTCCAGATGTTACCAGATCCAGTATTTAAAAAATAAAGGGGTAAACTTTCAAAGAACAAGTGTTATGGGTTTTTTATAATTTAGAACAAATGATAAATTAACCTGTCCATACTTTTGAGACATAATATACAAGAGCAAAGAGCTGAGTGTTCTTTTATTACTCAGGTACTACAATTTTTTCCCAATAAAAATGTCTTTTAAAAAATTCTTGCTACTGTAGCCCAGCTCAGATCCTGGTACAGCCTTTCAGATGAGGTATTCTACCATCTCTCCATCTGGGAGGTCCTGCCCCATGGTCTGAACAGGGGCTTTTCTCTCAAGAGTGCTGGAGTGGAAGAGTGGCCCATCTATGTGATGAGGAAAAACAAGAGACAGACAATCAGAGCTGTAACTTCAATGAGGTTAGAAAAATGACGTTAACATTTTAAAAGTCATCTTCTATCATTCGCCAAAAGACAGCTAACAACTCCTTATTTCATTTTAAAAATTTCAATTCTTCATGTATGTAGCCAGACAAATAAAGATATTTTATCACATTCCCTTTGGGTATCTCCCACTGATACACAATGGCATATAAAACTGGAGTGACTGCATTTAAACCAATGTAGTCAGTGTAGACTAGCTCCACAAAACCTGTTCCCCGGTCTCCCTCGATACCCATTAAATAGCAGAGCATGGGCAAGATGCACAGCAGACCAGCCAAATTCACTCTTCCATAAAGAACAACATAATTGTAACGCGCCTGTAAGTAGAAGAGGCAAGGTTGTGTAATCTGCATTGATTTGGCAGAGTGGGCTGGAAAATGAGCAGCTCTTGCCAGCTCGGAGCTCTGTGGGAAGCAAATTCAGCTTCTGTGACAGTCACTGTCAACTGGATCTACTTGTGCCAATGCTGAAGTTGGTCCTGAGACTGGGACAGTGCAATAACAAGATAGCTTTATCATGATAGTTACCTTTCCTTCCTCTTCCTCCCCCTTATCTGAGTCCGCTTTGCTTTGAATACCCACTAAAATGCCAGCATCTACAGCCTATTTTCACACGCTGTTTCAACCCTGCATGCTGCTCGCAATTTACTTCAGAGTAGACACTGACTCAGAGACTGTCCTGGGCTTTGCATATACCTGCTCCAATTCTTAAATCGCACTACACCTCTCTGCCCAGTGTGTCCATGCTTATGCTACCACTCTTAAGGCTTTTTTTCCTTCAGAGCATTTGAGACCCCTCAGAACATTGTCAGGCTGGCCTCTGAAACACATCTGTCCTCAGAAAAACTAAACCCAGTCTTCCTGAATGCAAAAAGGGACGGCAGGGCCTGCCGCACAGCGCACAACTGACGGCGAGTCAGTGGCAAGGGCCCCTCTGGGAGAGCAGCTGAGCTTTGTTACCTGTTTTGTCTGCACTGTAGGCCAGGTTGGTACTGGGGAGTCGTCCTGGTGTGGGAGCTGCAGTGGAAGGTGCAGCTTTGCTTTGTTCGTTCCCCCGGTCAGTCTGGGTGCTGCAGTCTCTGCTGCCTGTTTTCGAGTGGGCTGACAGCAACGGTGTGGAAGGAAGGACAGGAGAGGGGGTGGAGGGAATGGATTCGGAGCGATATTCTGTTCCCAGCAGAACACCTTTGTAGAAAAAGGGAAGGAAATTTCACAGTCCCAGAAAACTAACTGGTATCAGTTCTGCACCCCTCTGTAGGACCTGCTCTAGGATCTTGAAAGCGCTCTGTGCTTCAGCAGACAGCATTAATTTACCTTTCTATAGCACCTTTCACCACTGAAGTACCCAAAGAACAGCGGTATCCTCATGTTGCTGCATGCAAAGATATGCAAGTGGCCACTAACACCTTACCTCCCTGTCTCTAAGCAGTGGCCCGTCTAGGGCAGGGTAAATCTGCAAACTCTGAAATCAGCTGCAACAGATTCTCATTTACATTTCAGGGTCTTTTAGTCTCATATGGAGGGAATTTGGGTCTAACTTCCCCCCAGAAAAAGAAGAAAAAAATAATCTAAGATTTGCTTTGTTACAACTCATTTTTCTCTGAACAATGGTGTTGGGCCATTCCAGACAGGAGTCACGTTAGTGCAGGCACAACACTACAGGGTAGCAATCCTGGTTAGTATCTCTGCTCCCATTCAAGGAGACTTTACACCTTCAGACAGTTGTAACAACCCAGCTGAAAGCAAGTGCTTGGGAACTCTGAAAACTGTATCTCAAATATCCCTGAAGTCAGGTACCAAATTGGGAATAAAGGCTTACATATCTTAATGACAGAGCCTGGACATCAGAAGTGACTATTTCCCAAAAGCGATAAAACGAGCCGTTGTTCCAAATGTGTTCCATCTTGCTTGCAGTCAGCTTTACCGCACGCGAGGCCAGCTGATCTGTCTGTCCAACACACCTTCTTCCTTCTGCTGCTCCTGCCTCCCTGCTAAGCAGCGACTCGCATGTCTGAATTGCCACTGTTACTTAAAACTTACCGAGGCTGCCTTTCCAGCTCTTGTCCTCCCTCTTCTCCTCCAGGATGGGAGTGCTGCTCAGTGTCGACGAGTGGGACAGCAAGCCCGAGCCAGCGTTCGAAATGGACATCAGCGACTTGGCAGGTCTCATTGAGGAGAGCTGGTCTGTCTTACCAGGCTCCTTCCGGGAGCGCTGCTGCAGGACTTTGATCATGGCATCCTTCTCAATGATCTGAGCATGCAGAGTCTTAATCCTTTTTGAGAAGCACAAAGAAGAACAATGTACTTGTACTCCTGTCTCCTTGGACTGAGGCCTCAGTGCCCCCATGGCTGTGACTAGGGCTCCCTTAGGCATTTGGGGAGGCAGAGAGAGGATGCCAGTGAGCTTATTGCCCTGAATACTGCCTGATCATGGGCCCACCAGAGCAAATCATGCCTGAGACTTCCTGTATGCATGCAGGAGAGAACGGCACCGAGATACCCACCCACCTTTGGCTACTGGAACCTGCCCTAAACAGCCATGGAAGGGGCTTTGAGGCAAAGCTGATAGTTATGGGCAGGACACGAGACCAACAGAAAGAAGAGGATTAACACACTTTGGGGAGTCTGCGCTGGACCTAACCCCAGGGAAAACAGTTCTGTGAGACTGTTAGTAGGTGGCTGGAGCCTGGGGTGTGATGAAGATGCCCTGAAGAGAGAAGAACAAGCTAGATGCAAAAAATCTAAGACAAGACTTTTTTGCATTAGCCCTCAGTATCAAGACAGGTTTTGGATTGCTATGTAGATAATTCCTTGGCCAAATGAGCATCTGGCATCCTACATTGTTGCTATTGGTGAAGACACAAGAATTTCTGGTTCTGAGGCATCTACCCAGACAATTAATTTAAAATCCCTATCCTAAAGAAGCCAGATAGGACCAAACTGCATTTTACCTTCCCTCCATGTCGAGACACCTCCTGTTGGCAAGCAGGATCTCCTCCTCCTCCTTCTGAATGCGAGCTTCCAGCGAGGTGTCATAGCTAGGGTTAGGTGAGTGGCTGATCACTGTCGTGTCCCTGAGAACAAGCAGTAGAGCAGATGAAGGACCTGCTAAGTTTCCTGCACTCCTCCCAGCAGCACAAAATTATTGCTCAAAAATAACAAACAAGAACATCCACTTTTTTTCAGTTTAGGTTGGCTCAGTGTCTTCCAAAAATCCAATTCCCAGTCCTAATGAAAGCAGGATTACAAAAATATGCAAGTCATTACAACAATAGTCAATCTGCCGTCCACCTCGGGCCAGTCTATAATCGAACTGATTCACTGTACTGCTGTAAACTGATCGATGAGGCAAATCCAAGGACATGGGGAGGGAGAAGGATGGTATAAAACACTTGGCACTTTTCTTCAATTGAAACAGCACAAACTTTGCTTCACATATAAATTGTTTTCCAAAACATAATGAGTATTTCATTCTACTTGTGGCTGTTCAGTCAGAACAAAGTCGCTGTGCTACGCTCTGTATCAATGTATGACAAAACATTAAGAGCATGTTACTGACATAGCTATGCATCAACATAATTAGAAAAAAACAAACACACAAAAAAATTTGGAGTTACCAAGAGCTCCCATTCACTGTAGTAAGAAATCTGTTCTCTCAGACCCAGCATGTCTAAGAACTGTCTGGTAAATGTACCTTTAACTCTGCAAAAGTTCAGATCAGGAGCAGCAAAGCACCAATGTGAAGGGCATAAGAAGGTCATTCATCAAAGAAACCTAACCTGACCCAGATTCCTGCCTGTGCTGTAAAGCATCCTTCCTGCAACCTCAACTTCCTAAGGGATGCTTTTTCCACCATCAAAGAAAATGGGAGGAAATCTGTGCACAGTGTAGACAAGGTTGCCATCCCTCAAAGCCTATATTTTTGAAGGAGATACTATAGGTGCCAATTGCATATAAACTTGCAGAAGTATTGACACTAATGGAATACTCTCTTTTAGGGGAGAAGCAGCTAGAAGGAAATGGAAAAACAGGGGTTGGCTCTTTCCTGACTGGAAGGCATTCTTGTTCGTTTAACAAAACCTGAACAGGCCTAACACATCCCCTCTCATTCCATGATAAACAATAGACCAGACTGCTACTTATCAGTGCAAGCTGAAAATATAACACGGCCTCTAAAGACAAGCAGGAGCAAGAGCCTTTAGAGAATCTCTGGGGAGGCAGAAAACAGTGCACAAGAAGCATCAATACCCTAAAATAACAGCCTGCTTCTGGAGCAAGATAAGATAAGTCTTTAAACACTAGCACAAAGATCTGCAACTTTACCCATGTAGTTCTAGTACGATCTTACGAGCTAGGAAGCCAGTTACAGTAACACCCTTATTTGAATCTGGTTCATGAAACAATCTAAAATAAAATCTGCCATCAAGAACTAGAAACTAGCAAGCAAGGAAATTATATGTAAGCAATACCTAATGCTAAAGAGTTGCACTCCAATAACAGCTCTTGTTTACCAACTAGCTGAAGCACTTGGGCCTATTTACAGCCATAACAAGCGTTTCTGTACAGCTGTCTTGGAATGTGAGCTTGTTACCAAATTTCAGACACCCTTCCCACCCCCACAAGCAGTGCTCTCCATACACAGCAGAATGTTTTGAGCAGAATTTCCTAGTAGATGTTTCTGGTTAGTAACCATGTTGAGGACAATACCACAAAGTAATTTGCAGAAACATGCTGGAGAACAAGCAAGCCATTCAGAGTGAATGATGTGAATCACCAAGCTTACCCCATCTCACATGACTTCAGCGAGGATTGATTCCTGTTTAAAAAAAATAAAACCCCCAAACCCTTCTCATACACCTATTTTTGAATCAACAGCTTCTAGGAATGGCTCAGAACAATTCTAGTCTGGGAAACGGCTCCTGCATGCGAAGGAATCTTCTCCTGGAAAAAAGTTTCTAATTGTTGGCAATTACACAGCTCCCAGGAAAAGCAGCCAAGCTCCACTTGCATGCAGAAGTCTGAGAAGCTGTTCAGACCACAAGGCGAGGTATCATGGTAGGGTGGTATGACCACATTCCTTGGTGGGGAATATGACATTCAACTGGAAAAAGAAAATAATCCCTGTATTATGAAAAGTCGCATTTACCTCTGAGCAGCCACAGTTGCAGCTGCATCCAAAGCAAACTGTCTCATCACACTCTCCTCCAGGTACTTCTGTTCCCACTTGGTCATGTCAGCTTCCAGAGCAAGAATCCTTTCCTCCTTCTCACGCAGGAGTTCCATAAGCGCCGTGGCGTTGTACTCGGAGACGTTGGCAGCCTGAGATGTACCCTGACGCTGATTTCCAAAAGCAGGGAAAAGAAAAAAAAAAAAAAAAGAAGTCTCAGGATGTGTCTGTAAGGCTCAGGGTTGGTTTGTTTGCTTTTTGTCTGAAGGACAGAGGCTGGTCCAGAGCAGCACTGGCCTGACACAAGAACTCCCCCGAGTGAAAGGCAGAGGCCTCTGCCACATTGGGCAGCTAGGTGATGGTACCCGTCTCCTCTAGAGCTCAGTCTGAAACATCTGCAGGGGCAGTTCAGCCTCACTCTGTCAAAACCAGGAAACAAGCTCATATAATGCAAGAAAGGCTCCTTCTGTTTTCCAAATGTTGAAGCTCAAAAGTCATAAAACATCAAGCACTGCTCCCAAGAAAGACAGCTTAACTCACAGCACCCATGCTAGAGTGCTTCCTGGTGCCATTCCAGAGCCCGTCAATACTAACAAGCAAGTATCTGAGATGGAAAATATTCCTCCTAAGGCCTTTTTCCATGTGCAAAGCCCCACATGTGCATCCAAGACCTAGATCACGCTACTCAGGTCTGATGTCTACAGCCCATCCATAACGCCTAAAGTAACACAGACTTACTTCCAACACCATTCCAGCAAAACACTAACTAGTATACAAGAGTTATCACACCCTTAAAAAAAATACATCCAAAATATTTTTAAAGGATTTGGTTATTAAATCAATATGATCAGTGTATACCTGTGGAGTAAGTAGCTGGGGATTAAAAATAATTCAGTTCTAAAGCAAGATTTGGAAGACAGGCAGTGTTCCCTTTCAGAACAAGAAAGAGTGGAGATTTGCTGAGCTAACAGTTCAACGGACAAAAGGCATAGTTTTATATGGAAGTCTCATCTGGGATTGGAAGGATATTTGACTTAAACAAAAAAAAAATAGTTTAAAAGAAAAGAAATTGTGCAGACAAGCTATTTTATGTTCGGCTCAAAATTCTTAACCATGACAAGAAAGCTGTTTCTTTGTGTTGACTCAGGTGCAATGTCAAAAATTGTGGGGTTCAGAGTACCTCATCTTCCAAAGGTAACACAGAAAAGGTCATCAAATTACTGTAACTCCTACTAAAACCAACACAAAAATAAAAGTAAGATTTAAATATCTGTTCCTATGCAGAGGTGGAAGTTGGGGGATAAACGTAACCTGAAACTAAATGTGATTTAGAACACAGGCCTGCATCCTATTTCCAGTAAAATTTACAAACCTGACAGTTCACCTATGTTTGACATAAGTTGAAATAAACCCAAAACTTCACATCCAATTAATAAGACCACTGCACAATCTACTTCTCATTCATTTTTTTCACTGAAAAAGACTCATGTTACAATCATAAGAATATACTCTGTGTGAAGCTCCCATCTGTTTCCATCAACTGCATTTATAGAATTGGTTTTGCTGGTTTGGTTTGGTTTTTTTAAAATGCAAAAGCTTTTTGAAGGGCCTCTTTTCAGGCCAGCTGTTAATGAATTTTTGTATAAAATGTCAAACTGTGAACCATATTTTTAAAATAATTTAAAAGTATATATAACTAGGGTACTTAAAGATAGAACACCATCTAGCTATATGGCTATGTCTGAATCTTGTCACGTGATGGATCCCCTATTGCTCTCTTATCTAAATTTTCTGGTTGGAATGGAAGAATTAAATCAAGTAAAAAACAATACAAGGGCCAGCAAATCCATGATTATAGCTACTAAAAGAAAAATGTGTTAATTTTACAAGATGGAAAAAACCACTGCCCTTATGTGTGGTGTAGGGTATAGCGTACAAGCCTACAAGAAGCGTAGTACGGCACAGGGAAACAGCAGGTACCTGCTGCATCCGGAGAGATTCCAGTTCTCTCTCGAGCCGGGTCCGCAGCCTATGTTCCAGCTGTTCCCGTTTCTCACACGCTGCCTGCAGCTGAACCAAGGCCTGCTGCATCTTCTCCACCTTCTCAACATAGACCTGCTTCTTTTTGAGCTGAAACAAAGGAAGAAAATGCAACGTAAGTTAAATAATGAGAACGAGTGAGTGAACTTCTGGCTTTGTACATGTTGCAGAGCACAGAAACACCAGCCGGGAAGAACACGTCCAGCTGACTGCTGTTGGTGTGCCTCAGACGCCTACTCTGGACTTGACATCAGGAGGTTGCAGGTCTTTCCTGTCTCTGCTTTCCTGCTAGGTGTATTTGTTCTTTTTGTCCTCAGCGACCCCATGGCAATGATGGGGAAACTGAGGTAATTATCTGTTGCAAATGATTGAGAGCAGCGATGGGCTAGAAGGGGCATCTGGGTTCGTAATAGAGAGCGTTTAAGTGACACAGCACACGTTACCGAGGTAACTGTAGCAAAGACAGCATTTAGAGCTGGTCCACAGGTTGGGAACGCTTTTCAGTGCAATACTGAAAATTGATGGCAGTGTTTTTATGAGATTAAGCAGAAACAGAATCAAAACTTGCAGGATCCTATTCCAGTCCCATAACAATAAAATAATGAATAGGATGAAAGCATACACTAGACATGGCCTGTGCTCTCTCCACGCTGCAGCCAGCTTTATTCTAGCAGTCTGGACATTCACCTCGGTCATCGTGGCCCAGTGCGACCCGAGAGGTCCTGCTCCGTTCCTTGCCCCTGCCCTTCTGTCCTCCTCCATCATTCATCCTGCAAACCAAGCTGCTATCCTGTCTCACGATAAGCCATGAAAACTACCATGCTGAGACCCCCGATAACTGTCTTAGCAAGGTTAATCCACAGTTCAGGCAGAATAAAACCAAACTAAAATATGAATTTAAAAAAAGAATAAAACACACCCAGGGCCCAGCTCTATTCTAATATATAAAATACTGCACACCTACGGACATAATTTTCTGTTAAGGAAAAGACTAACAATCACAATTAGCTGGCCTTCTGCAGCAAATCTGGGGCACTGCGTTTTTAGCTATGACTGTCATAAACCCTGAAATATGAAAACAGCAGGAAGAAGGCAACTTTTCCCAACAGTCAGAGCCAAATTCTAGAGAAGCACCACAATGCAAAACACAGACTCCCTTATGTGAGTTCAAAGAGCTACTCTACAGCTTCATGGAAGAAAAGTCCACTGAGGGATATTAAAGACAAAAGACACCACTTTTGGCTCAGGAAGTCCTTCTTGGAAGCGGAAAGTATTTTGGGAAAGTATCGCTGTTTGTTGGCCCCATTCTGATAGTGTTCCCTTGGAATCGCTGTAAGTTTCGGTGGAGACATGATTCTAGGCTTGCTGGGCTTTGATCTGAACAACATGAGCCGTTCTTACATCGCACCGTCCTTCCGAAAAGGTCTTATCATGTGTTTCTTCAAAATTTTCCCTTTTCACACTCCTGTTCCTTGAGGCAATCCAGAGACTGCAACGTGAATAGCAGAGAGAGAAAAATCTCCAAACACTATTAATCCCAGACATGGTATCTTTTTCTTCTCTTCATCAAGTCAGCAGGCATCTAATCTCACAGCATGAATGTTGCTGCCCTAGAGGATTTTCCCCAAACAAGTATTTTATAATAAAAGTTACAATAGAGAGTAAGCCAGCCAAAGGCCTTCCCATCAGTGCATGTACAGTAGAAAGGTATTTTTATTCTTTGATTGCTCAAGATTTCAAGCTTGTTTGGAATGGGAGGGACAAGAACATTTTAATACAACTTGATATTCCACTGCTGCTCTGCAGAAAATCAACAAAAATGTTACACTTAATAGATCTTTTCATTCCAGATCATAGTGCTTAATAACACTGATTTAAGCTTTCGCAGACTTCAATAAAGTGTATATTAATGCACTAGTTTTACACTGAGATTAACAGCAGCAACTAGTAGCTATGTAACCAGCCAAAAATGATAAACTATGAGTCAGCAGCAGAACCTAGAAATGGAGAGCACCCAATATCTCGGTTTTGCATATGAGCTTACTGACCTGGACAAGAGTAAGGAACAACCTAATAAACTTGCTAACAGTGAAATATCATGCGTCGTGCTGAATAATGATCTCTTGAAGATCACCTCTCCTCCCCCACTCTTCTATATAAAAAGTTAAGGAAGGAAGGACAGACATTCGGTCTCTTATTACACAAAGCATTTAAATTTCTGAAAAGCTTTTTAACACACAGGTAAAATTCTCCTTGCAAAAGGTAGCCGCTGACAACATTTTACTAGTTTCATAATTAATAAACCCGAGTATGCATATGTGTGGATTAACGCTTTGGCCTGCATTCAAAGAATACCAAGAGCCCAGCCAAAAAAGAATTGGGACACAGAAATTCCACTGAAACGTTCGCTTTGAAAGTGCTCCCATCAGCCAAACCTGCAGGTGAAACGTTGCAACAGAAGCTGTTGCCCAACTTAACCAGCACTGCCTGCACATGCCTAGCTCATGTACCAGTCCTAAAGCACAGGCACGGCTTGTTCAGTGGCTTTTCATAAAGACAACTTTTTTTTCCCCCTCACAAAATACACTTCATCTTCCAGCATCAGGAAGAATTAGGAATGTTAGAAAATTTGGGGTTTGTGTCTGTATTTTTTTTAAGGGCTTAAACCCAGAATTAATTCAGGAGTCCTTCAAATCATTTTCAGTTTTTTGGACCACAGATGCTCAGTAAGCTTTAAGGCATGTATGGGCTCCAGACAACTCAGCTTTCCTAATATGTCTTTTGACACAATTATCTTTTATATACAAGATTGTTTCACTTCATGCACTCGCTGCACTCAGGCAACCCACTGCATATTCCGGCAGGTCACTCATTTCCAGCTCTGCCATCTCTGCTACTGCGAGTGTTTGTGACAAACAATTTACCTTTCTGTGAAAAAGGATTCTCCAGGAGTGGTAGTAGTGAAGTCTAATTTTTTTTTTTTTTTTTTTTTTTTTAAAATCTTTCTGACTGGATCTGTCCTCTCAACGTAAAGAGGATCAGGAATAATTCTTCCAAGCACAGAGGGATTTCATTACCATAAATTGGGAGTAGGATCATGTTTTCCTAAGACAGGAATTGGAAACAGAGTTTCCTGAGTATTGCCAGGGTGCTGCAGACATAAGTGAGATGAGAGGAAGAAAAAAAGGCAGCGTGCTGAGGCTTGCTCTTGGTCATTTGCCATGGATTCCCCACCCTCCCTCTTCCAGCAAAGAACCAAAACTGGCTGCTCAGTGCCAAGGGCCACAGTAACATCTACCATGGGGGAGATGGCATCAAAGGATGCTGGAATCCTCTTCTCTGCAACAGGCCTTGCAGTCAACACGTGCTCTAGATAAGAGTTCATTCCTGAAGCTTTAAAAGGATGCAGTCACTCCCTTCAGTATATAATTTTAAATAAATTTGACAAGATAGTAATTTTCCTTTTGATGGTACTGCATTTAACTAAGAAGCAAGCTCAGGCTCACATAATGTATTGTAACTGTTTTGCCTTGAAGGGTGCTCTGAAAATGCAGAGCATTTTACTCATAATAATATCTTTATTATAACACCTCTTTTAAGACGGTGAAATCTCAAATAACCTCAGTGCATGTCTGGAAGCACAGCAGAGCACTTCAGCATGACTGTATCTCTTCCCAGCATTTCCTACAGCACATGGCACAACTTTAATCGTGCGCATATCCTCTCCGGGTCAATCCCTGACTGCTTTGGAAAATGTCCTAACCAAGTATCAGAGGTCAGGCTTTAAGTCTATCAACAAGATTGTCTAATTAAACCATTGTAAACAAGAGCAATCACTCTCCAGTTCACATCCACTACGACGTTTAAGTAAATTCTGCAACAGGACTGAGGACAAGAAAAATAAAGGCGGCAAGGACTGGCTTGGGACTCTGCAGAAATCTAGTACGCAGAAGTGTGAATTGATGCAGGGAATACCCCTGAAAGATTCCCTGGCCTCCCAGTCAAGTATTTCTGTCTTTTTATTTCCTCTATCCCTTGTCAAGATTGCTTTCTGCAGTTGAGAGCCAGCTGGGAGAAGCAGGATACACTTGGGATTCGGATGCTTCATTGCTCACGAGAGTCTGGCTGACCTGAAGAGCAATCTGTTTCCAAGTTAGTCAGGAAGATTTACTGCCTGAAAATGTCTGCGCACCGATATCCCTGAACTGCAGGGCTTTCAGCAATCGAAAATGAATCAACTGCTCTAAACATACAGGGATGAAATGATTAAACAAATTCACTAAACCTAGAAAACTGAAACTAGTCCTCAGAATCTTTTCGCAGGAAAAAAAGACTTCCTAAGACAATGTAATGCCTGGCAGCAGGCAACCTGCTACAGAGAGCATTTGCATGGTCTAAAATCAACAGCCAAGGACAAAGCATTCCTGTAGGGAATAGGGACATTTGATTATTACTACAACTGCCCAGCAGAAAAGGGATTAACATTCTAAAAGCCAAACAAATCCTGTTCCTTCATTTGATTTAGGCTTCAAGAAACCATGCAATCTCTTTCAGGGATCCCAGGTCCTGGCAGAAGAAAGGCTCTGAAGAGGGCACAGGGGTTTCATGCACACAGCACGGGGAGCAGGGGCGTACAGGAATGAGGAATTTTCACTGTCAAATCACTAGAAGCAAGGGAAGTAGAGACGGAAACATCCTCCGGACTGGAGCTACCTCTGCAGGACAAACGCAGTCCTGGACATAGCAGGTGAGGGGGAAGGAAGGATCTTCTTTTGTACAGAGATTCATCGCTTCCAGATGCGTTACTCAGCAAAGAGTTTTTCTGGGGAAGAAGAGAAGACTTCCTGCATAGCTAGCAATGATTCAGAAACCCTCCCAGGCATTTTGACAAACCCAGCCATTATCTTCTTCATCTTGGACAGCTCCTATTTCAGCAAATTGGTAACACTCGTCAGCATCTGCTTGTCTCCCACCCACTATTTCTGATGTCTTCATAGTCCTTTGTTTAATATATTCAGGGTGTTTTCATTACATTCTGGGTTTATCCTAAAGCTGAATCCATTCAGATGCAGCTGAAAATGTGTTTCCCC